ATTCACCTTCCCCTTTCCCAGAGGCTACGTCTGCATCATCACCAACGTGGCCTCAAAATGAGGCAAAACTGCTGTAAACTACACTCAGCTTGTTGACATGCACGCCCGATACGCTGAGAGGGGTTTACGCATCCTGGGCTTTCCCTGCAACCAGTTCGGAAAACAGGTACTAGGGGGAGTGGGGTGGGGGCTGCCCTTGGTCCCCTGCGGCCCCCCCAACCCTCACGGGGTGCCCCCACTTCTGCTGCCTTCCCCAGGAGCCCGGGGATGATGCTCAGATCAAGGCATTTGCTGCAAACTACGGTGTGAAGTTCGACATGTTCAGTAAGATCGATGTCAACGGGGACGATGCCCACCCGCTCTGGAAGTGGCTGAAGGACCAGCCCAAGGGGAGAGGCACCCTGGGCAAGTGAGTGTGGGCAGGGCTGTCCCAGCGGGTGGGGGGACCTGGCTGCAGCAGGGGGAAGGGTTGTTCCTGCCACAATCTCACTCCTGGCTTTTTCTCCCGTAGCGCAATAAAATGGAACTTCACTAAGGTAGGACACACTGCCTGGGTTGCAGCCTCCCCCACGGAGGGGGCACGGGGGGATTCCTGGGGCTGCTCTGCCTCCCTCAGAGGGGCTGCAGAGCCTGTGTCACAGCTGGAGCTGCTCATCTGGGGCTGCTTCACCTCCACAGTTCCTCATCAACCGGGAGGGCCAAGTGGTGAAGAGGTACAGCCCGATGGATGATCCCTATGTAAGTGCTGCTGCTGCAGGGGAAGGGTGGCAGTGGCAGCAGCTCTGCAGAGACACACAGCAGGGCTGGGGCTGAGCCCTGCTTGAGGGTGGGCTCTGCTGCTCCCTTCCCCCTTTGTCCCCTGTGCCCTGGGATGGGCCTGTGGCACCAGGGAAAGTGGGTGCTCAGCACAGGGTGGTCCCAAGCAGCCCCTCTGGGTGGGATGGAGGGGGCTTCAGGTGTGTTTTGGGGGCAGCCATGTTCTCACAGCACAATTCTCCCTTTTACCTGGCAGGTGATTGAGAAGGACCTTTCTCCCTTCCTGTAGAGCTGCTCTCCTCCTCCTCAGCCCAGCACTGACCTCCTGCTGCCCCTGGAGCCCCCCCAGCCCCCATGATGGTCTCCCTTCAAGCCAGCCCACTGGTGAGGCAGACCTGAAGTTCTGGCGTGCACCTGCTGGAGGAGGCTCCACGGGGCCAGCAGCTGCTGCTGGGCAGCCCCTTTCCTGGGCATGAGGCAGGATCTGGTGTCCCCTTGCACTAATAAATGTGTTAGAATGGCTGGTGGTGTCGGGATGTGGCAGGGGGGGTGGATGGGGCTGGAGCTGCTGCCCTGGGTGAGAACCCAGAGCTCTGCAGGGGAGCCAAGGCCTGATGCAACTCAGCCCAGCAGGGATAATCCTCATTAGTGCTGAGGGGGCAGTGCACACAAATCCCAGCTCAGCCGCTGCTCCCGTGGGGCTCACGTGGGAAAAGCTGGAGCTGGGGGAGGGGGGGGTGTCCCCGTGGGGGCCACGGGGATCTGCCTCAGTGAGGCAACTGGGTTGTTTTTCTCTGGCTGCAGGCGGGGGACCCCCTGCCGCTGACACCCCCCCAGCCCAAACACCCCCGGGGCCCTGACAGGGCAGTGAAGGGGCCAGTTCCAGCCATGGTCAGAAGCAGTTGCTGCAAAACAAGTCGTGTTGGGACATGGGGAAATACCTTAGGAGCCAGAGATGTGTCTGACCATGGGGTGTGGGACCTCGGGAGCCTCTATCCTCCTCAGGAATCAGCTCGTTGGTGCTTGCAAAGGTGCAGCTTCATTTGGGTGAGCCCAGAGGGCTGGCAGCTCCTGGGGCAGGGAGACCTGGTGCTTCCGGGGTGCTTTGCCTCTTTTCCCCAGGGTCTGGGGCAGCTGCTGGGTCTCCCCTTAACATCCACAACCCCCTCCCCATGGGGATCTCTGTCCTTGCTGCAAGGGTGGAGTGGGGAGGAGCCCCTCAAGGTCCTTGCTGGGGTCCCCCAACAGTGTAATCCCAGCACCTCAAGGATGCCAGAAGGATCCTGCTCCAGCCTCACTGCTCACAGCCCCCGGCAGGGGGCTGGTTTTGGGAGCTGCCCCACAGCCCCTGTGAACCCCAGGCACTGTGGCCATGCCCAGCCCTGCCTGCACAGCCCGGGTGCCTCATGCTCCTCTGCTCCCAACACCCATGGCTCGTTCCATCCCCCCTCCCACGGGCCCAGCTGTGCCTGGGCGAGATGTCCCAGCTCCTGCTGGAACAACACGCCTGAACAGCAGCTCTTTTATCTGTTTTCCCCAGCAGAGCTGGGTGGGAGCAGCCCCAGTGAGGCCAGAGCCCAGCCCGGCTCCAGGGAGGCTCCTCCACATGCCCAGGGACAGCAGCCCTGAACTGCCACCGAGCTGGTGACATAGGAGGTAACTCGAGGGTACCCCAGCCCTCAGATTCCCTGTCCTGGTCCAAGTCCCACATGGGATCCTGGGGCAGGTCTACACCTCCAGAGAGATGGACAGACAGACAGAGAGCTGGGACTTACAGAACACTCATCGGTGGCTTCCTTTCCATTTTTACTGAGCAGAATTAAAAATTATCCTTCTGAGGCAAGTAGAAAATTCAGGAATTATTAGTCAAAGGCACATACCAACAGTGTAATCCCAGCACCTCAAGGATGCCAGAAGGATCCTGCTCCAGCCTCACTGCTCACAGCCCCCGGCAGGGGGCTGGTTTTGGGAGCTGCCCCACAGCCCCTGTGAACCCCAGGCACTGTGGCCATGCCCAGCCCTGCCTGCACAGCCCGGGTGCCTCATGCTCCTCTGCTCCCAACACCCATGGCTCGTTCCATCCCCCCTCCCACGGGGCCAGCTGTGCCTGGGCGAGATGTCCCAGCTCCTGCTGGAACAACACGCCTGAACAGCAGCTCTTTTATCTGTTTTCCCCAGCAGAGCTGGGTGGGAGCAGCCCCAGTGAGGCCAGAGCCCAGCCCGGCTCCAGGGAGGCTCCTCCACATGCCCAGGGACAGCAGCCCTGAACTGCCACCGAGCTGGTGACATAGGAGGTAACTCGAGGGTACCCCAGCCCTCAGATTCCCTGTCCTGGTCCAAGTCCCACATGGGATCCTGGGGCAGGTCTACACCTCCAGAGAGATGGACAGACAGACAGAGAGCTGGGACTTACAGAACACTCATCGGTGGCTTCCTTTCCATTTTTACTGAGCAGAATTAAAAATTATCCTTCTGAGGCAAGTAGAAAATTCAGGAATTATTAGTCAAAGGCACATATTCTAAAAAAAAAAAAATCTCTTTACATATATACATCTCAATTAATTATAAATACACATAGAAAAACAAAAGCAAACAACAAGCAGATTAAAAAGTGCTAACAAAAAAAAGGTGTAAAGGAAGAAAAAAAAAAAGGGACTCATTTAAAAATACATACAATCAGTAGGACAACTGCAGAATAATTTAGTTAAAAGGTATTGTTACATATTATTAACCCTGACAAAAACACAGGATCGGGGCAGGGAAAGGGCTTCCTCGAAGGTGCTCTCTGTCTTCCCAGAGACCAGGGAGGGGGAATTGCATATTTTAAACCATCAGCCTCAAAGCCAGGGGGGAGGCTCCGGGTGTGGGCGGAGCAGGGGCTGGCGGGGGGAGCCGAGCAGGATTCCTCCCGCTATTCCTGAGTTTAAGCCTCTCTGAAATGGGTTTTCCCGGTGCCCTTTTCTCTCCTTGCTGAGAACTGGGCAAGCTCCGAGTGACTGAACCAGGGCAGGGAGAAGCCGAGGCCTCTCCACGAGTGGTGTGGGATTGGGACAGACCTTAAATAAAGGGTGTGGGGAGAGCCCTGCTCCACGTGGGACTGGGAAAAGGCTGTTGTGGCACCCAGAGAACACGGTGATCCCGGGGCAGAGCTGTGGGGAAAGCAGGCAGGGGCTCCCCATATCTTTGGTGTTCACTTTGAGGTAAGGAGGTGTCCTGGAACGCAGGGAAGTGCAGCCCCAGCTGTGGGGAGGGCGGGGGAAAGGACAAAGGGCAGGGATCAGAGCAACCCCAGTCTCAAGCCTGCTCGTGCACTGTGCAGGGCAGGTCTGGGTTTAATGCAACATGAAGGCAGGTCCCCCCCAGGAGGAGCACGGACACTGGACACAGCCCAGAGCTCCCCCCCCCACCAGTCCCTGAGCCCTGGGGAGGGGGCACAAGGGGGGTCGAGGCTCTGCCTGGAGGAGAGTACTGGGCACTGCAAAGCTCCAACCCCCTTAGGACTGACCTGTCAGGGCACGGGGGACCCCAGCAGAGCCTCTCCTGGCTGGAATCCTTTCCCCAGGTAGTCCCTGGGGGAGGGCCAGAGCAGCCAGGGAAGGTCCCGTGTCCTTTCCCTGGAAACATCCCAGTACCACTTCTAGGGAACACCTCGATGGCTTGAGGCAGAGAGGAGAGGGGAGGCAGGTGGAGGAGCTGCTCCCTGGAGCTTCCCTGCCAGCAGGCAGGTCTGCCAGGCTCCTTAGATCAGAGAGAAAACGGGATTCCCCGGGACCTGCCGAGGTGAGATGGGACAGGGGGTGGCAGAGGAGGCTGGAGGCCACTCTGTCCTGGGGGGAGGCAGCTGGGCCGCTGGGGAGGGCAGTGCTGTGCAAAGCAACCTTTGCTCTTTGGTTCTAGGGGGTGAGTTTGCAGCAAGAGCAGAGATCATGTGTGTCCCAGGGCTCCCCAGGGAGCTCCCTGGGGCTGGGGAGCAGCTCTCACTGGGGCAGGGCTGGGAGCCAGACCCATGGCCCAGCCAAGGACATGCTCCATGGAGCAGGAACAGTGAGGTGGCCAGGTCAGAGGACACCAATGTGACAGCAAAGCAGGGGCAGCCACGGTGATCTGGCGAGGCTAAAGTGCAGGACAGGCTGAGGGACACAGCCCTTCTGCTCCGGGCACCCCCTCTGGTCCTGGTGTGCCTGAGCTCTGACAAACTCACAAGCTCTGCCCCCATCCTGACACCCACGGTGGGCTGCAGCCAGACCCTGCCCTCTCCTGCAGGGCTCAGGCAGCCCCCAAGGTGCTGTGTCCCCTCTGGGGAGGGCAGAGCCAGCACAGTCAGCTCTGCTGTGCTCAGTCCTGCTCAGAGGGACACTTGAGCTCAGAGGCTCCTGATTCCTCTGGGACAGGATTCCCTTCCCCTCCATCCCAGCTCAGCCCCCCCAGAGCAGCCTGGAGGTCCAGGCAGGGCTGGGCAGCCCTCAGGGAGCACTGGCAGCAGTGGATGCAGCCACAGTTTGTTCAGCCCCCCTGGGGGGACCAGCTCTCTGGGCAGGCTGGGGGAGGCAGGACCCAGCTGGGGAGCTCAGTAGTCTGCAGAGGAGGGGGCCTCTGTCCTCAGTCCCACCTGGGCACTGACCTTGGAGCAGGACTAGAACACAGCAGAGACCATCAGTCCAGGTCACCTGAACTTGGCAGCACTCGGCTCCCCCAAGCACACGTTCTATACAAATCTATACATGCCTGACTGTGTATTATATATAAATAAACTTTGCTTTAAGGAACTATAGGGTGTTGTGTTTTTTTTCTTCCCTCAAAACCAGAAAAGGGTCAGTCCAAACCAGTAGAAAGGCCAGGGCTCCCCAGCTCTCACCTCTGCGCCAGGGGATGTGGATCCAGAGCTGCCTCAGAACTCGGGGAAGGGCCGACTGAACTGGATCACGCTCTGGCGCTCCTGGGGGAGCACGTTGTCCTGGGGGGCCCCGTTAAACGTCCTTAGCATCTCCTCCAGGATCTCTCTGAAGTTGATATTCCCGTCCTGCTGGAGAAAATCTTCCTGCTGCGGCGGCGCCTGCGAAGGTCCGTGGGGGGGCAGGGCCCGGGGGTCCTGCAGGGGGGACCCCAGGGGCAGTTTCCCCTCCAGCCCCGGGGGGCTGAAGCCGAAGGGCGACCTGAGCTGCTGGTGCGGGGGCAGCGCCGGCTCCGGGGGGAAGCAGAGCCCGCCGGGCTCGGTGCTCATCCCCACCTCGGGAATGCTGGGGGGGCTGTAGGTCAAGTCCAGGACCTCGTCCTGGCGCAGGGGGGGCCTGGGCAGGGCGAGCCCCGGGGGCTGGGGCGGGAGGTGCAGCGGGAGGTGCGGGGGCGGCAGGGGGAGGGTGTGGTTGTGC